TGCAAATTTAGATGTGATACATCGCTGCCGTAGTCACCTGGTCGACATAATCCAACCTGAAATTTGCAATGCTCTAGCATCTGCTGTTAAGTGCTATCGAATTCTTCATAACTAAGTGCTGAAATTTGTTAAAACAGACGCCTTTTTTGTAACTTTTGCTGCACAAGCGCATTGAAACGATAAAAAATTTTTTGATTTTTCTTCAGATAAAGATGGAATATTTCAGATTAGTGCCTTCGCATTTTACCTGAGCATTTAAATTAGCACCGTCCAAATAAACTTGTCCACCGTTTTCATGAATTTTGGCGCAAACATCGACAACCGATGATTCGAAGACGCCATGCGTTGATGGGTATGTGATCATTATTGCCGCCAATTCATTTTTGTATTTTTCAACCTGAAAATGGCTTTTATGCATTTCTGCTTGCCTGTTTGAAAATTTATCTACTTGATAGGGCCAGTAGTTAAATAATGGTTCTTTTGGCTTAGCTAGATAACCTAATTCGTTCGGGCATCCATCAAAAGCAATAAAATCCAAAAAAAAAAAATTTGTAGCTTTAGCAAATAACTTTTACAAAGAAAACAAACTTCATACTGTCGCACTGAAATATTTAAGCAAATCTAATTCACAAACTGACTGTATGTACTTAACCAGTACTGCTAAAATCAACTACTTATGCACGAAGACTGTTACTTTCCTCCCCGCCTCACCGCCATTTCTGTCCCTTATTTCGCCCTGCTACCAAAGATGCCTTATTAACAAGCAATATGCTTCATTTTATTGTGCATATGCAAAAAAATATGCCTAACTGAAGGAAAAAATCAAAACCTTGGCAGAGAGATCTTTGTAGTTGATGTTGCCATGCCGGTCAGCATCCACAACGACTACCCGCATATTTGCCATATTGGCACTTGCTGGATTGGTCCCATGTGCTGATATTGGAATCAAGCAAACCTTTAATTTGTGATGGAAGATCAGAGATTCTTCCAAATTGAAATAAGAGAACCATTTTTGTAAACGCACGCTACTGCATCTTACCCACCTACGTTTGTGTGCATGTGCGCGCATTAGTTCATGTTTTAATGTATAGTATCTAGTCTAAGAAATGGCAGTTAGATTAGTGAACTGGTTATAAATAATAACAAATTATGTGAATGATAATATTATCGTGATAAATACCTCCATAATAAATAGACAAAAAATAAAAATAAATTATCAACCTGAAAATGGCTTTTATGCTTTCATGCATTTTCAGGTCTCACTGTCAGCTGAAATTTTGGGAACTTAGTCTTTGTTCATAAGAAAACTAAAAGCATGGAAGGCCTTCTAACTTTTCAGAGTAGATGTAAGACGTATTGTATGATTCGAATTTGCAGTTTTGCAAAGTTGATACTCGTGAATAAAACGGATGCTTATGTCAGTTCCCTGGGGCATACCGGTATCTGTTTGAAAATATTGCAGTTTTATCAAACTCAAAAAAAAAATTTAAACAGTTAATTGGAAAATTTCGACTCTTAAGTAAAAACGTTTAAAAATTTTATTACTTCTATTTCAAAAAAATAAAAACGTGATTGTTGAAAGTTAAGAACTGGGAAACTTACATCTCGTTGTCCCTGATCAATCGATTGTAAATATTTGCGAATAGCAAGAAGACCCGTATACTCTCCGCTGGCTCCACTGAAACAATTACCATCCAAATTTGAGAAGACGGAAAATGCGAAAGGAAAGGTACGAGGGAAAGTGCAAAGAACGGGCCGTGATTATTAAAACACAGACCAGTAATCACAACTAAGGCACTAAAATTTGTATGCTTCAAGTGGCCCACAGTCAACTTTAATTGCGATAAAGCAGAGAATTTTAAAGCGCTAGAAGCTGAAAACCTAATTTACTTAAGAACAGATAGTAATTTGGACGAGACTTCTGAGCGCATTTTGCAGATTTTTTGATAATTTATCAGAAATGATGAAGAGTGGAGAAGTTAGAACAAACCTGTTCGGTTGTAGCGATATTTTATCGTAGCCAGTGATTTCGCATAGCCATTTTTCTACCTGACTGAATATTTCTGCGTAGCCTTCCCATTGATTTCTTGGAGCAAATGGGTGTAAATTAGCAAATTCGGGCCATGTTATCGACTGCAATAGGCCATCGTGATAGAAGTGGTTCATTATCTTGTTTGGCTTACTTGAGAAAAAAATCGAAAACTGTCCATCCTCCCCTCTTTCGCACCACCGCTTTCCTATGTCTTTCATCTACACTGTTTTCCCCACCAGTACAAGCAGGCGCACAGATATTTGTCCGTTAGAAGAACATGCTTGTGTAATCTTCGTCGCATAATTCCCCCAGACTGTTTATCATCAGTAAACACAGAATTATCATTAGGATATAGTGTACATTAGTAATAACAGTCGATTTGGTCTCCGGCAAGAAAGAGATGACAGATGGAAATATGGAATTTCGCATGATATCTATGCCACGTTAAAGGAACGCTGGTAATTTTGTTTGTACAACAAAATAATGTATTTTTAAATCAGAATGATTATTTAGATGGCATGTTTGAAGCCAAGAAGAATGCAAACCTTGCCAATTATATGTGCCAAAGTAAAATTATAATAGCAGCATTATTTTGTAGTGACAAAAGTGCTGTTAATCTAATTTTTAGCAGAAAAAAGTCATCTAGCAAAGCTGCGAATGCATAAAATTTTTTTAAACAAGCCGGAGATACTCATGTTTCTAGCAGATTAAGTATAATGACAACATGGCAAGTTATTAGAAGGATAAATCTAGAAGGCCCATCCTAATGTCCGAGGAACGCACCAAAGCCTGAGACACGAGTAAACCGTTTATTAATGGTAATTAGGTAAATTCAAGTAAATGAACAACCCGAGTTAAACTTTTGATTTCAGAATATTCTCGAGTTGAAAATTATGCGAAAATTAAGATAATTGAGTCAAAAAAAAAAAAAATCTGCTGGTAAAACATACTGTAAGTTCAGCACTTGCATTAAGCTTCATCGTAC